ATTTTCTTGGAATATTAATGCTACTACTACCTATGCTGATTGGTTCATGAAGACTGGGACGAATGCTAAGCAGATGTATGACAGAAAATTTCAACAAATAGACAATTACTGTGTCGGTAAATAGAAAAATTTGTGCTTAGAAGAATAATTAGAAAGACCAAGACCTAAACCGAGACTATATTAGCAACACCAATACAAGAACAACATGGAATAAGGAAGACTAAAAGAAAATACCACAAATGGCGCGGTAAACGCCATCTGTAGTACGATGCTATATTTTACGATTACGTATACTCCAACAAGGTCCATTTAAATTTATATGGATATCTACTTGCTGAAACAGATCCCGGCGTAGGTAACCTCAACGTGATAGGCACGCCAGACGCGGATAGCGATTTCGATCTTTTTGGANGTAGCATCGTGCTACAGATGGCGTTTACTGCGCCATTTGTAGTATTTTCTAAAACGCACTGTTAAGACAGTAGGTAAAGGTTGGTCTGTGTTCTGTCGAAGCTGCCTGCGATGCGCTGATGAATTCCAAAAAGATCGAAATCGCGATCCGCGTCTGGCAGTTTTGACAGAATACAGACCACTTCGAATTATTGTATTGTTGTTGATAGTTTTGTTCAAATTAGCGAGACGGTAGACAAAGGATATAAGAAATCTTAAGAAATTACATCCGTGAGTGCAGTGAGTGAGTAGTCTTAGAAACTCCAGGAACTCCAGAATAAGAGATTCGAGTCTCAAGTCTCAAGGGATACCGTTAATAAAGGGTACTTTAGAACTGAAGCTATTGTCTTTAATGCTGTATTTAAGTATGTACGCTGCTGTAATCTTTTAGACCAATTAGCTATTCTCAAAAAAAATTCTTATTGTTGGAAACCGGGAAAAAGGCTTTCTTTTTTATATTGAAGGCAGTAGCCAAGGAGGAGAATAATAAAGGACTTCATAATGACTTCACTGAAGAGGCACGAAGCAAGTCAAGAACTATTGTAATGAAAAAGAAGCGAAAACACTTGAATGTTAATGAGTAGTTGAACTGCATAAGGTGATTGGATAAGTAATGAGCAAGAATTTAATTGTTAGATCAGGAGTACTGTTATAATTACGATATTTAGAGTAATTGTCTCTAAATGTCACAACAGAGAAAAATTTATTTTTAAAAGATGTATGGAATAATGAAATAGAACAACAAGAAAAAGAAAAATATCAATGGAGATTTTACTGTTAATTTGTCAACACTTTGTTATAGAAAAAGCGGCACTCTTTATCTTTTCTAAACCTTTCAAATGTCTTGTCTTGTTTTCAGTTTTTTGAAGTGAAACTTCTTTACGCACGGTAGGGTAAGTTCGTTTCATGCGAGTTGCTATGTAACAAAATAATGCAACGGATGTCCCCTCTCTAGGCGGCCACGTAATCGAGTTCGTAGTGGGGATCGCTTGGGCCGTGAGCGCGCTTTAATGCAACGTTAGTTACAGACAACTCCGGCATGTATAGTGTAAAATTTAAATTCATAGTGTACAAATAATAACATTAAACCAATTCCTTAACCCCTATTCCGGTATGTTTGTGTGTTTGAAGAAATTTCACTTTAGTAGCGTGTTGTATAATTACACGTTGTATTTTATTTAATGTTCTCTTTATATAATAATTAAAGCAAATATCAGATATAAAAATGAAAATCCTTTGTTTTTCATTTTTGTACAGAATCGAAACAAAGAGCAACAATTCGAATATGTGTAAGGATGTGTTTCAAGGTTTTTTGCTTCGACTTTGAAACTAATAAATCATCTACCCTCTGAAGGCTGACATGTTAAGTAGATTCCATCTTTTATCTGTAGATATATGTGTTTTAGACACTTTGTTAAAGAAGGATCTTTTGAATCCTCTTGACTTTCACCTTCTATCCCGCTGTGGGGGTTCTTGAAATTTATTGATGGTCCTTATTTGGAGCACTTGCAACAGGCTACTTCTCCGTTACCTTTACGAAAAATACCTTTCTAAAGACTTGATTTATAACATACTGGAGACCATTTGCACTCCTGGATAATTTTCACATAATTGCATTATAAGTTTCTTTATCGCTTTAGCTTCCGTTTACGTTTTGTTATCTTATTATTTACATTCCAGTGGGGTGGTAGGGATAACATAACAGAACAGTAAATGGGACTTAGGCTAAATTTTTAGTGGATAATTGTGTTTTTTAATGGTAATGGTCTACATTTGTACATTTTAGTGAAATATCCGCTCAATTTCAAGGCAAACACAATCATGCACTGTGCACATGATTACTGAAAACCCAATCATTGAACAGGATTGTGTTGTAGGAATCCGTTCATTACTTGAATATAGATTCATTCTTTTACATTTGAATAAAGTTACACTACTAATAAAAAATGGTCAGACACATGAGTGATTCTATAAGGGTTCCGTTTTTCATTCGGACGTACGGAACCCTAAAAATAAACTTCATATTAGGTAAATATTAATCACTATAAAGTTTTTCTAAAGTAATTCATATGATATAAGTCTGACCTAATGAATACGTTTCGTCGTTGTTGCTACTGTTATCTTTCGTAGCTTAGTGGTCTAAGCATCGGTGTGTCAAGCCAAAGGTCCCGGGTTCGATTCCCGATGAGATTATGTGATCGGAGCATCAATTTTCCTCATTAATTTAAAGTAATTTGTAGTGTTAAGTTAGTTAAAATAATATATGAAGTATTGATGTTTATGATCATCGTATAAACGACTTGATTGATTATTTACCATTAATTAATTGCTGTAGGCTTTAATGGCCGGAGTTAATTTGGACATTGGGGGTTGCTGGGTTTTGCTGGTCATGATCTAGATGGGTTGATGATTCTCCAATGTCCTAATATTTATAAGTAAATATATGTAAGGTTGATGCTACTAGTAACTATTCTGAATTACCATTTGTTTTTAACCCAAAGCGTGTAAGAAAGGGTGAAAAATGACCCTGTATTACATTTCATTTTAATTCTATGCCATCTGCTTCTTCATACTTTGTTTTTATATAAAATTATTAAACATTATTTGGGATTACGATTATATTACTTAGGTCCATGTGTTGATTAAATTAGAAGGAAAAAATTTTGTGAATTCTGTCCACGTTTTTGAAGTATTTTCCGAACGAGTTTGGCAAGAGTTTTGTGTTTAAGTGCCGAACACAAGTTAACTAGAACAAAACGGGAAATGGGGCGAAAACTTAATTAAAACTCTCATCGGTGCAATGGGGGAGTTTTTGTGATCGTTCTGTCTTCTTTCCTGTTTTCGATTCCGATTTTACATCGGTGCGGGGCGTCGAAGTAGAGTGCGAATACGTTTCAACAAACAAAGTGAAATTTCTGGTGACATCCATTCAATGGTGACGTAAACGGAATAAGTAAACACAGTAAAAGCTTCAAATGCTACAACTCAGTTGTCGTCCCGACCGGCACGATGCGGCGTCCCAGGAGGAAAAAGAGAGGAAACCGAAATAAAACTTTCTTATGTATACAGTTTTATCGTCATATAGTACAACAGAACACGGAATAGTAGGGACATTAAACGGAAAAGTTCATTTTGATTGTCATATTTGCCTCGAGAGACCGCATTCACTTAGCCTAATTTTCGCTCTATGAAATGAACCGGCCCTGTTTCACTACTACGATATTGTAGGGTACGAAAGGTGACGTTTATGGAACACATTTTAATTTACTCCAATTGAAATTATGAAAGAATGATGGAGAACTATCAATTTTTATCTTCAAGGATCCGCAAACGTCTAATATGAATAGTCACATTAGGAACTGTAGTAAACATGATCTGTGGTGATTTATTGTCACTAATTATGGGATCACAAACAAGAACCACTTTATTTTTTTGTTGAAAACAAAAATTTTCAGTGAATAATTGTCATATCATGTAAAGCGTCATTGTCAAATCCTGTTCCATATTAAGCAGGTCAAATTTTGTAATAGGTAAAATCACTCCGATATAATTGGTTTGTCTACTTCTTTGTTAATGGTAAATTTATTCCGATATTTAATAGTCATTAGAAATTCCTGGTAGGTTAGGGTAAGTAAAAGTCTAATAGCTTCTTCCTTCCTCCAAGTATGTTATTGAAGATACATAGATAATTTTATCAAAAAGAAGATACCGAGTGGCATGGCCTAATGATTTAGACCATTGCTCAGTATTATGGAGAATATCGGTTCAATTCCAAGTTTTCTGTGGTTTCCTTGGAACACTTATTGTTAGGCAAATGCTGGAACAGTAATATTCCACAGATAATCTTTCACTCGCTTCTATTAAATGTATTTTTGGTTTTCCGACTAATGGGAACAGCTTTTTTAGAATTTTTTGATTTAAAATTAAAAAAAAGATCATTCGAGTGAATCTTTTAATTTTTGGTGACGTTTTAACTCTCTCTACGAGGTCATTTTCAAACCTCTCTTCTATCATTCCCACGAATCCCAAAAGGAAACTGAAGAAGTCCTTCCGCCTTACTTTTAAGTCTGGAGAAATTATCTGCCCTCCAGCATTAATAGCAGGTGTGAATTAAGCACCAACAGATTTTTTAAGAGGAAGCTAAACATTTATCCCTTTTTGGAGGGGATATGAATTTGACTTGAGTTGAGTGAATTGACCACAACCTTTTTCTACCATTATGTAAATTGCGGTAGTGAATTTGGTAAACATGAATTTAAAAAGATTATAATAAGGTTTTAAGAAAACAAGTAACAGTTTCTTGTTTATTTTATAATTCCAATTAAACTAAATTGGAATATGAATTTATGTATTTACGGTTTCGTAACTTTTAAGAACGAACCCTTATTTTTTTCTTGCTAAGTTGTTCATTTTAACGTGTTTCTAACTGATAATTATAAAGATTATTTGGTTTTAATTTTTTTCGGGGACATATTTCCAAAGTTATCTCATTCTCCTTTTCGAACACCACGATGAAATGATTATTTTTTTGGGATTTTTGAATTTCTTACTTGTCTATGAATGAATACGACAGATCCTAACAATCTCCACGTCCCTCCTTGTCTGTCCACGTGAAGCATACGCAATATTTGTAGAAACCGAATCCCTCGGATAGCAGAAGTTGCAAAAACTTGTCCATTTGAACCGACGGTTAAAACTACCACAGATGCTACTACCACTATAAGATCTGCAAAAGAAAAATTTCAGATGAAGTAAATAAAATAAATTCTGTCTTCCTGTAATTCCACAATATAGATGGCGTTCAGTGGGTTGTTTGTGCTAATTTATTGAACGCTTTTTAATGGCAGGTCAGAGATCTATTGGAGCAGTCTAAGGCGTGCTAATGAGAACAACAGAATTTGATGTCGCGATGCACGCCTGACAGTTTCAACAGATTACTGACCACTAAGAACTTTCTATTTCGTGAAATGTCTTCTACTATTTTATACTTTATAGATGACCTACTTTGTATTTGTTAGTATTTAATAGTTCCTGAATATTGGAAATTGGTTATAATTATTTATAGCGTTTTCGTGCCACGTGCATTACAAAGGGCGAATAACTTACCTATAATACATATAGGTTTTCGTATAAAACGCATTCGACCCCAAAACCCCATATATTTCGATCTGCAGCCCGCAGACCATAGCCTTACTATATATTCAGCCCCAAAAAATACAACAAGACATATTTCCTGAAAGAAAAGAAAATAGTGTTAGTACTTATTCTCAATGCGGTTTATTTTGTTATACAAAAGAAGATTTTAAATAAATCAGAATTTAACATAAACAAAATAAACGAGGATCTATTTTAATGAGTTTTGTTATATCGTCGTGATTAGAATCGTTGTTTTCTATTTATTTTTTGGCTTTCGTTTTAATTTTTCTTAACGATGTTTAAAGATTAATTTTACTAAATTTCACTCTAGAACATTATTTAGTGTTAAAATAATTGGAAATGGTCTGTGTTCTGTCGAAACTGCCAGACGCGGATCGCGATTTCGATCTTTTTGGATCTCATCAGCGCATCGCAGGCAGCTCGACAGAACACAGACCAACTTTTACCCGCTGTCTTAACAGTGCGTTTTAGAAAATACTACAAATTGCACAGTAAACGCCATCTGTAGCACGATGCTACATACAATACTACAGAACGTTGAGGTTGGCTATTCGTTTTCAGCAATTAGATATCAACACAAGTGGACCTTGTTGAGCATACGTAATTCTAACAAATGGCGTTTACTGCGCCATTTGTAGTATTTTCTAAAACGCATTATTTAGAGTTATTCAATTACTATGTTTGTCAAATTTTGTCACCATAAGAAAAAAAAAGTACACTATAGTTTAAGAGCATATTTAAAAAATATGATATAGAACCTAATTGTATTTCTTTGTTTTGTTACAGGAATTCGGACTGTGGTCATTGTGATGCGTTCGTTGATTTTCGATTATGTGATGGTGACGCCTATTGTGATAACTTTGACGGTCGGTCGCGGGTTACAGACGATAATGTTTAGAATCCCTGTGGGATACCTACTAACGTCGAATTTTTGATTTTGAAGTGGTGAGTCTGATTTTTGTTATATACGTTAAACTTTATATAACTTCTACCCTGTTTCTCAAGATTAAAATTTGGTTTACTTAATTTTCCAAAGTTTGTGTTTTCTTAAGGATAAGGTCCTTAATATTAAACAAAAACCAACATGAAATGCTTTCTCAGTGGAATTTTCCTTAAAGTCACAAGATCTAAAAGACCTTTTTAAGGTTTTAGACTCTTTATACATCCACTTTTGCTTGGAATAAATATCTTTTTCGATTGAATACAAAGCTATTGCTATTGCTGTTTCAATTTTAGCACCTTTAGACCAATAAATAATAGGTATCTATATTAAACCTTACAGTCACAACGTAGTATACATATAGTGATGTAGGTGTACGGGATTTCCCCATTACGAGACGTTTAAACAAAAGCTTAACTTGCTTACGTGCAAATGTAGATACCAACAGTGTAAAACAAAACAAACTTTTCATTTAATCGTATTTGCAGTTACGTTGGCAAGTTGGAAACAACTCCATTTACAAAGTTAGTAGCCTGCTAGGTGCAGGCAGACAAGCTTTGAATATAAACTCTCTACAGGGCTGCGTTTTTTATGATTAGGTATACATACGAGTTGGTTAATATGTAATACATCGGTTCACATAAAGCATCTTCAATTAATTATTTATTTAAAGACATACGACACGTAGTTTCTTCTACATTATTTTGTATTGTCTCATGTTACAATGGGTAAACTGAAGGGAGCGTATGTCATGCAGCACACAAAGTTACTTAGGACTTACGTTCACATTGCTTGGTGACACTTAATCATAGACATAGGAATTACATAGGGATGGAACATAAGTTTGATAGGGGGTGATTGCCAAAGGGAAACCGTGGAGTAGTGTGTGCTTAAATATTGTTGGTTACCGACATTTCAGACATCAGGGTGTAACCATAAGGTCGTCTGTCCTAAGACTGATTGGACACGCATCTCCACTCCTTCTTATTCTGAGCTAATCTTTGCATTTCCCTAAAACTAGAATATCCCTATTCTAAACTAATTGCGAACAGTAATCTAATCTAGGTCTATCTCTACTCCTCTTATACTTCATTTACTTTCTCTAGCGATGTACCCCTTCCAATGTCTTAGATGCCCGTTTGCAAAATCGTAGGCAGGGAGAAAGCTCATTATACTCTCGACTTTTGTTCATTAAACATACTTTTTCATACAGTACCTGCCAAAAGTTTTGTTCAATCATGAATAGTAGTGCGAGTCGAAAACAAGCGTTAAAGCCTTCAATATGTCTTCNTTAGCTACGCCGGGATTCGTTTCAGCAAGTAGATATCCATATATTCAAATGGACCTTGTTGGAGCATACGTAATCCTAAAATGTAGCATCGTACTACAGATGGCGTTTACCGCGTCATTTGTGCTATTTTCTAAAACGCGTTGTTAAGACAGCAGGTAAAAGTTGGTCTGTGTTTTGTCGGAGTTGTCTACGACGCGCTGATGAGATCCAAAAAGATCGAAATCGCGATCCGTGTCTGGCAGTTTCGACAGAATACAGACCACTTTGAATTACTTTATACAATACGCGGAATAATTTCCGCAGTTTCGTTGAAATTAGCCATTTGCTAACGCTTCTTCGTATCCTCGTTAAATTGATTTTCATGATTATAAATCCATAAAGAATTATTAAGGAGGTTGAATCGAAAAAGATCTAATTGTTTTTTGACATTCAAAAATACTAGAAATACACTTGAAAAGTAAATCGATTAAGAATTTTGTAACGACGAAAACAAACAGTACATTTACGTTATAAAGCATCTTCTTTGATTGTTCCCAAAGTAAATTCGCCACGTAGAGTCTTCTTCAGATAGATAAACAAATAAACTTAAACCACCAATTTGTTATAAGTTTAAGATTATTATTTCTTCCACTTGAAGAAGCCACTGGGTAAGAATGCACCAATTGAGCTTCCAAGAGTTTTCAAATTGTTTAAAACTAAATAGAATGTTAACTTACGGCTGGAAGAGCGAAGAAAGAGATAGCAAATACGCTGAAACACGAAGCTACAATTTTCCCCATCCATGTCCTGGGAACGGTATCCCCATAACCAATGGTAGTGACAGTGATGACTCCCCACCAAAGAGCATCGGCGTAGCTGGCAAAATCGCCGGTGTTCTTTCCATCTGCCCCAACTGCGTCCTTTTCAGCTAAATAAACGAAGTAGCTGCTAAAAATTAGGCCCAAGAATCCGATGTACAGAGTTGTTATAAGTTCCTGTAAGAATGAGAAGGAATTATAACCAGCTGAAAAAATTTCTGGATTTTGTTGCTACTTCTTCCACAAAGCAAATACAATTATACAATTTCTTGATGTCTGAATTAATTAAATTTTCATTGCTTTTGAAGTTGGTACGTTTCACATGAAAATATTTTGGTTCTGGTTTTATTCTTTTGCTGTTAAGTATATCGTGGCGGCTTTGAAACGTTTCTCTTATCAGTTCAAGTTAAAACAAAGGAGAGCGAATTCAACTTTGATATAACAAAAGCTGCTCGCTACCGGTTACTGAGCTTGCGGCTATAAGTTCGAAGTTGGCGGTGTAAGGTATAATATAGCCCAGCGTCATTCAGAAACGTTTCATACTTGTAGATAAGAAGACTCAAATTCATCGTTTGGTATGGTTTTATTATTTTAACTAACAAAGCGCTGTTTGTAAGGATTCGTTTTTGAGAAATTTTAAACAAACTGTCTAACAAGAAATACTTAGGGTACTCCAATATGCACAGGAGGAGTACTGACTGTCTCTATAAGCCAGTCACAAAACAGAAAGTGAAAGTTTCGATATAAATAGGCATTAAATATAAATTGTAACGTATTTACCTTTAGAAAATACTACAAATGGCGCGGTAAACGCCATCTGTAGCACGATGCTACATTTTAGGATTCCGTATGCTCCAACAAGGTCCACTTGTGTGGATATCTACTTGCTGAAAACGAATCCCGGCGTAGCCAACCTCAACGTGATAGGCACGTTAGCTTAATCGAATAAAATAATTCGAAGTGGTCTGTATTCTGTCGAAACTGCCAGACGCGGATCGCGATTTCGATCTTTTTGGATCTCATCAGCGCGTCGCAGGCAGCTCCGACAGAACACAGACCAACTTTTACCTGCTGTCTTAACAGTGCGTTTTAGAAAATACTACAAATGGCGCAGTAAACGCCATCTGTAGCACGATGCTACATTTTAGGATTACGTATGCTCCAACAAGGTCCACTTGTGTGGATATCTACTTGCTGAAAACGAATCCCGGCGTAGCCAACCTCAACGTGATAGGCACGTTAGCTTAATCGAATAAAATAATTCGAAGTGGTCTGTATTCTGTCGAAACTGCCAGACGCGGATCGCGATTTCGATCTTTTTGGATCTCATCAGCGCGTCGCAGGCAGCTCCGACAGAACACAGACCAACTTTTACCTGCTGTCTTAACAGTGCGTTTTAGAAAATACTACAAATGGCGCAGTAAACGCCATCTGTAGCACGATGCTACATTTTAGGATTACGTATGCTCCAACAAGGTCCACTTGTGTGGATATCTACTTGCTGAAAACGAATCCCGGCGTAGCCAACCTCAACGTGATAGGCACGTTAGCTTAATCGAATAAAATAATTCGAAGTGGTCTGTATTCTGTCGAAACTGCCAGACGCGGATCGCGATTTCGATCTTTTTGGATCTCATCAGCGCGTCGCAGGCAGCTCCGACAGAACACAGACCAACTTTTACCTGCTGTCTTAACAGTGCGTTTTAGAAAATACTACAAATGGCGCAGTAAACGCCATCTGTAGCACGATGCTACATTTTAGGATTACGTATGCTCCAACAAGGTCCACTTGTGTGGATATCTACTTGCTGAAAACGAATCCCGGCGTAGCCAACCTCAACGTGATAGGCACGTTAGCTTAATCGAATAAAATAATTCGAAGTGGTCTGTATTCTGTCGAAACTGCCAGACGCGGATCGCGATTTCGATCTTTTTGGATCTCATCAGCGCGTCGCAGGCAGCTCCGACAGAACACAGACCAACTTTTACCTGCTGTCTTAACAGTGCGTTTTAGAAAATACTACAAATGGCGCAGTAAACGCCATCTG